GTTTCTCTAAGAAAATATAGCAGAATTTATTGTGTATGCACCAACAAAACAAAAATTGAGAAATGCAAGGAGTAGGAGATGAACCCCTTATTATAGAGACTTCAACACTCTTTTCTTACAAAATGGATAGACTCAGGCCAAAAACAGGACAGAGGTGAACTCAACAACATCAACCAACTGGGTATGACCGACATCTGTGAGCTACTTCATGGATGGCAGTAGGTTCCTCCCAGGTTCCTGTGGACCATTCCTCAAGATAATTCACACCCTGGAGCCCTAAAACAGGTGTTCACCAGTTTAAAAGAATAGAAATCACCTCATGCCTGCTCTCTGACCACAGTGGAATTAAACTGGAAGTCAATAAGAGAAAGCTAGCTGGAAAAATCCCCACATGCTCAGAAATTAAATAACTTCTAAGGAACACATGGGTAAAGAAAGCACAAGAGAAAATTGAAAATACTTGCAGTAAATGAACATGAAAAGATGCTTATCAAAACTTATGAGATACAGGAAAAGCAGGGCTTGAAGGGAAATTTATAGCATTGAGTGAATTTATATATTTATATATTGTTTTATATATATATAAAACATATAGGTTTATATATATATAAATAAAATATAGGCTTCCACCTTAGGAAACTGGAAAAATAAGAACAAATAAAATCCATAACAGAAGAAATAAAGACAGAGTGAACAATCAATAAAACTGAAAATAGGAAATCAATAGGAAAAACAAAAAACAAGCTGGTTCTTTGAAAAGATTTATAATTAGTCTCTAGCCAGACTGAAGAAAAAAAGGCTCAAATTAGGAAAACAAAAATTAGGGGGGTATCATAGATCCTATGAGAATTGAAAGGGTAATAAAGGAATGTGATAGATACCTCTATCCCACAAATTTGATAACCTGGATAAAAGGGACCAATTCCAGAAAAGATGTAATCTACCAAAACTCAACACAGGAAGAAATAGACAATCTACATGGATCTGTATCTACTAACCTCCCAAAACAAGGGTTGGGGATTCAGCTCAGCAGAAGAATGCTTGCCTAGTATGCACAAGGCCCTGGGTTTAGTCCCCAGCACAACCTAAAAAACAAAACGGAAACCACCACTGCCCCAGACTAAAAACATCAGGCCTACGCGGATTCACTGGGGAACTTTGGCAAACATTTATAGAAGAAATTAGCTCTCTACAAACTCTTTCAGAAGAAAAAAAAAAAAGCAGAAAGATTACTTCCTAACTTGTTCTGAGACCAGCATATCCTAATACCAAAACCAGAGGAAGATATTACAAGAAAAGAAAACTATAGCCCAGAATTTCTCATGCACATGGATGTAAAAATTCTCAAAATAGCAAATTGAATCTATCGTTTAAAAAAAAGTACTGTGACCAGTGGCCTTGAAGAACAAATCGAAAGACTTTAAGACCTATAAAGTGCAGTAGTTAACACAGCCTGGTATTGGTGAAGAATAGTCAACTAAAAGAAAAGTCTAGACTAGGGATCCTAGATATAGACACGTATGGACCAAGTCCACTGATTGTCACAAAGGAATGGAAGCCGTATAATGGTGCAAAGGTAGTCTTTTAAACAAACGATGCTGGAACAGATGTATGCACACCTGCAGAAAAAAATAATCTTGCCACAGACTTTACATCTTCACAAAAATGAACTCAAAATGAATCACAGACCTAAGTGTAAAATGTGAAACTGTAAAACTCCTAGAAGATTACATAGAAGAAGACCTAAATGACAAAGGATATGGTGATGACTTTAAGATAAAACGTCAAAAACAAATCAAAGAAAGAAACAATTAAAAAAGCAAAGTTAAAAAAAAAGAGAGAGAAAGAAGAAGAAAAGCAAAGTATGGTGGTGCACACCTGTGATCCCAGCTCTCAAGAGGTGGAGGCAGCAGAATCCCTGCAAATTCAAGGCCAGCCTGGGTACATAGTGAGTTCAAATCCTAAATGACATAGCAAGGCCCTACCCCAACAAAACTTGATAATGTGGACTTAATTAAAATGTTTTTTAAACTTTTCTGTGAAAGATACTGAGAAGAGAATGAGAAGACAGGCTGAAAACTGGGAGAAAACATTTGCAAAAGATATAGCTGATAAAGACTTATCCAGAATATACAAAGAACTCTTAAAATGCAACAACAAGATGAACAACCAATTTAAAAATTAGGAAAAAGACCTGAGCAGACCCCTCACCAAAGGATATATACAGATGGCAAGTAAGCGTGTGCAAAAGCATTCAACACTGTGTATCATTAGAGAACTGGAAACTAAAGCAGTACTGAGAGACCACCACATACCTTTACAAAAGCTGAAATCACCAGCTAAAAGCTGGTGAGGAAGCCAACAGTAGGAGCCCTCATTCATTGCTGGTGGAAATGCAAGATGGCACTGCCACTTTCTTACAAAGCTAAGCATAATCTTACCATCTGATCTAGGACTGGTGCTCCTTGGTAGTTACTCAACTGAATTAAACATTCACGTCCTTACAAACCCTGTGGTTGCAGTCCTAATTGCCAAAACGTGGAAGCAATCGAGATGCCCTTCAGGAGGTGGGTGGATAAACTGTGGTGCATCCAGACAAAGGGGTATTGTTTAGTATTCAAAGGAAATGAGCCATTAAGTCATGAAAACATGCGGAGGAAACTTAAAAAAATGTGTATTGCTCAGTAAAAGAAGCCAGTCTTTTGTCCAATTTAGACACTGACTGATTCTAATTGTGTGGCATTCTGGAAAAAGGCAAAGCTACAGAGACAAAGCGTAAGGGTTATCGGAGGCTCGGGAAGAGAGATGAACAGGGAGAACACAGAATTTTTAGGGAAATGTAACTATTCTGCATGGTACCTCAATGGAAATAAATTGTCATTATAGATGTATCAAAACCCATAGAATACACACCAAGGGTGAAGGCTGTGCCAGTGTAACAAGTATACCCCCTCAGTATGAGATGTGGCGGAGGCTGCATATGTGGGGACACGTGGCACATGGAAACGTTGTAGGCAAAATCACAGATGAGCAAGCCGTGGGAGAGATTTCTGTTAAATGGAGAATTATGAAGATAAATTGTCTGGCTGTTATAGTGGTCAATAAGATACTTGTAGCCGAGCGTGGTCGTGCACACCTATAATCCCAGCACTCGGGAGACTGAGGCAGGAGGATGACTATGAGTTCGAGACCAGCCTGGGCTACATAGTGAGTTCCAGGTCAGTCTCAACTGCATAGTGAGACCCTGTCTAAAAAAACCAAAAAAAAAAAAAAAAAGAAATGTAAGTAATGTATTTGTATCTAGAAAATTCTAAAAAACAGCAAGAAAACAGGAAAATCCACTGGCAATAATTCTGAGTAGGTAATTCATGGAAAGAAACTTCATTTAAAAATGCTCAAATCTGCTGCATTAATATTGAATTAAAAAGTTACTACTTTATGACCATCAGACAGGAAGCCATTAGAAAGTTCAGTAGTAACAAGTACTGATAAGGCTATGTAGAAATCGAAAACATTCGCACACAGCTGATAGCCATTCTGCAAAGTAACCTGGCAGTATTTAGTGAAATTAATAGAACTGTTCCCATAACCAAACAACCCAGCAATTCTCCCATATGGTTTGCATTGTTGAGGAACTCTGGTCACAAGTTTGGCACCATGAGATTCTTCATCGTAGCAATGTTTGTGGGGAGACACAGCTGAAAGTCAGCTAAATGCCTACCACTGGGAGAAAGGATAAGCAAAACATGGTCTAACCGTGTTACAGAACACTAAATAGTCAAAAACAAGAGATTACATTCCCAATCGTAACAATGACATGACTCAGACATGTGGTTCAGTACAAGAAATATTAAAACACAAAAATTTGATATGATTTCAAGTATGTAGGTATGGGTACTAGAGTAGAAAATGAGACTAGGAAAAGACTTAGAAAAATGAGATATAATAGAAAATAGCCTTTGCTTTGTCCAGTGAAGAAATTATAAGATGAGCTAAGGTGTTTGAGTGACTTGGTTCTCTTTGCCCCTTTATTTAGGACTAAAAGGACTTTTTTAAGTATGATAAATATATTTTAAGATTTCATTTGAATATTAGTAATTCAGGTACTTAGCTTAATGCCTAGCGCATACTGCGGTAAGCACAATAAGCTTTATCTGTTAATGTTATTAATGCCACTCCTGGGATGGCTAGTACGAATCGATTGGAGTTAGCCCTGAAAACCAATTGGATACAAACAGCTTCCGCCCGAAGATCTCTCTGTGTTCAGAAGGCAGAAGAGCTGAAACCATGTTGGAGGGTGGGAAAGGCTTCCATATTGTTTGTAGTGTCCTAGGGAATGATGATAATTAATTGGGAAACTGTATACCTGTAAACATAACGTATATTAAGTAGATACTACACAAGAAGTGCTATGAAGCTGGGAGACTTTATATTTTGCTGTACTTCCCCCAAAGGGATGTTTTCTTTTAATGTTTTAATTATGTTTGTTTGTTGTTGTTGTTTTGTTTATTTTGTTTTTGTGGTTTTGGTACTGGGGATTGAACTGGACCTTGTGCTTGCCAGGAAGACATAGTACCACTGAGCTACATCCCCGGCCTTTAATGTTTTAATTTAAAGCTATACAACTGCAGTGGAATCATGTCCACCTGTATACTGTTTACTTTGTCATATCCCTCCTCCATCTTTCTCCTCCTCCTCCCTAAAGTGGGACTCGCGTTGTTCTGCTGAAATGAACAAGATCATCACCTAGTGGTCGGTCCCTGAAAGTGCTGACAGGGTCTGGCACATATGTGCTCAAGCCTTGCACTCACGTTGTATTAATTCAGCGAACACTGACTGGGACTCTCTTCCAGGCACTACTCTGGGGCCTGGGGTATAGAGCTGCTAATGCAAAATGACAGGTTTAAAAATAAAATTAAGGAAGAGTCAATCCAGAAGCAGGAGCCCTGTCCAAGTGACACTGTGTCTTAATGTCTTTATTTTCCCCTGGCTTTTCATAGATCATAGATGAAGAAGAAACCCAGTTTATGAGTAACTGCCCTGTGGCAGTCACAGAAAGCACCCCCCGGAGGAGGACACGGATCCAGGTGTTTTGGATAGCGCCACCTGCAGGAACAGGCTGTGTGATTCTAAAGTAAGTGACCATGGGCTCTTTACGGCACTTTCTGCTTCTTCCCTTAAATTTATCAAAGGCTTCATGGTGTGGTTGCAGAAAGAGATTTGGCTTTATTAGGGCATTAGATAAGTGGCATTATTTCTCTGCCTTCCTTTATCTCTGTTCCACATGGGCATCATGGACCGTCAGTGGTAGAATGCTACATAAGGAATCACTTGCCTGAATCTATTTTCATCCAGTAGGGTGATTCTCCTGGCCATTCTCTATCTTGCTTAATGATGCCAGGGCTAGTTGAGAGGAATTAGCAACCCGATGGAAATAATCTTTAACCTCTCCATCTGGAATAACATGTTTGCATTTCTTAGAACTACCAACAACTAGAAACCTTACTCTGCTCTAAGGCTGACCTGAGGACCAAATGTACCCTTTCCTAACCAGGGGCTCTGCTTCATGACCTTAACTTCTTCCTAGGCATCAAGATTGCTCTCTATTTCCCCTTCGCATCTGGCCTCCCAGTTCTACCCTTAGTGGGCTGCAATAGGTGACAGGAGATCATGATTAGACAAAATAAATTTCTTCTGAAAGGCAACAGCGTCTCTACAAATGTCAGCTGTAAAATGAAGCAGGAGAGGTAAACAGATGGGGAGGAAAACAATTTCGGGCCGAATAAGTGTACCCAAGGTTGCATACTGACTGGATCCCCTCCTTGCACTCCGCAGTGTGTTAGCGTATTGAATGCTTTCCAAAGTCTTACCAAAGAATTGGTGTGACTTCAGCAGCATCTCCCAAACTTAATTTGACCGTAGATCTTTTCTTTTTTCTTCCTGTAGCGACATTAACCTTTACCACAATAGGAAACACAGCCATAATCTATTTTAGTAGATTTAAAGGCCTGTAGGCAATGATGCTGGCAATTCCAGGTTCTAGGTTCTCAAAGAGGCACAATAATCATGATTAGATGTTGGGGTTTCAATCCTAGCATCCAAGAAGTCATTTCTTCATGGAAACGAGAGCTGGGACCTTCCAAACCATCATCCACTTCTCTGAATACCCCTAGGCTGCATGTATTTGGTTCATTTCCCAAATTCAGACATCTCAACACACTTAAACCTGTGATGAATCCAGCTCATCCCTGAGGAGATGCTAATAAGAGAGCCTCCCACTGTGGCGGTCCAGTCCCTGCAGTTATTAGAAACTGCGTGGAGTAAAGCCGCACAGGGGTCTCTGGAAGTGCCTGTCTGTTGTGTAGACTCAGTCCTGCTTTGGTCTGGCCTCCCTTTGCTGCCATTTGTCTGGATAACATTCATTTCTTTCATAGTTTAATGCAAGCTGAGCAGCTCTCCTCAGATTCTTTGCAAAGTTTGATTCTTGGCATTCGTCTATTTTACTGATTTTTTTTTTAAAGCAGAATTGTTTTCAAATGAAATACCAGCAATAGACTGCAGTATTAAGCATGCGTCTCATATCTAGTTACAATGCTGAAGAAGGCCTTGGGGAAATGAGCAAAAGCCACTGGTAAATAGAAGCAGTGTATTCAGGTCTTGCTGTATAGTCAAGGAATCTTCTGAAATCTCTGGCATTTGGCATGCTGAGGAATGGGAAAGCCTTGTAGTGACAAAAGGGAAGAAGGTTTTAGGTCTGTGCTGCTGGGAAGTTGTTGGCTTGGGAAAGCCAGAAACAGACTAACTAGGAGCGGTGCATCTCATGTGATGAGTATGGAAAACATATTTGACTTTCCTGAGTTGAAAGCCATGGGAGCAAAAATAGAAAAGTGGGCAATCATTGATCAACTCCTGATGTTCTGAGATGATTTCTGCAGAGGCTTGGGGCCTGGCTACTGCCCATTAGTATATTTGGTCTTTTGGCCTGGAGACTGGCTTTGGCTCCCCAGTACCCAAACCCCCTAGTCCATAGTATGCCAATCACTCCCCAACTGTGGGGCTTTAAAGAAGGTAGTTTGCAAACTTGCCTATGTCTCTGGTTTTCTATGTTTTATTGTTCTCTCAAACCAGAATAATTTGACCTCCCTGGTAGAATCCAGAAAGGCATCTCTTGTTTAGCCACTAACAGTCAACATATGTGAACATATATTTATCCATTAACTACTAACATGTGTGGCTTGTTCATTCGCTCATTCAGCAGATGAAACTGAGCTTCCATTTGCCCAGGAATCCAGGATATGGATCCACCCAGCCTATGTATATTTTCAACCTTGGAATTCTCATAGGTCAAATGGAAGAAAGAGAAAAAAATCAGCCAATACTCTCTATGTACCAGGAATTCAACTGCACATTAGCTGACTTTGATTAATCTGTTTCACAACAAACTACTCCATTTTAAAGAGGAGGAGAAAAGCCCAGGAACTAGGCAGATTCTTTAAGTTGCATATACATTTAAATCTAAAGTCTTTGTTATTCCCTTCATTTTTTTCTGAAGGGATTATGTAGAAGTTACTACTGTTCAATAAAAGAATAATGTTTTCATAAATAAGACAAATGCATTCACATTGTAAAGTTTCAAATACAAAAACATAATGAGATACAGAAAAATGTGGAATACAGAACAAGTGAAAAGTCCCTGGGCCAGACCAATAGGCCAAAGAATACATAAAAATGTAAAAAAAAAAAAAATTCCCAGTATCTCCTCCTATAATCCCAGTTTCCTGTACAGAGGCAGCAATAGATATCAATTTTCAGTGTGTATGCTTTAAACTTTTATCCGTGCATTTATATTCATAAAGAGAAACATAAAAAGGATGGTTTCATTTTTGTGAGAATTTAGGAACGCACATGGTATTGTGGTATACCAAATGCCCCAAACTTTAATGGTCTTTCATTTGATAAAACATTGTAGAGATTTGTCTAGATCAATACATATAGATCTACCTGGGTTTTTTGAGCTACTGAATATAATCTACAGAATGAATGTTAACTGTTCCACAGTTGAGCAATTAAACTGTTTCCAGTTTTTACTATTACAAATAATGCTATGATGAACATCCTGGTTTACTCCTGAGTAAATATACAATCTTTTATCCACACAGTAGGTGGGGAAAAAGAGGATCATAAGGAACACATATTTGTTATTTTGATAGCCACCACCAGGTTTTCCTTCAAAAGATTTTGCCAGCTTAACTACTCTCCCTAGCTACAAACAAAAGAGCTCACATCCTTCCTGGTTCAATAACCCTTTGTGTTACTGAGCTTTAGGACTCTGCCAATCTGATAGTTTAAAATGGTTATCTTATGTTTTCTTGATTACTAGTATCTTATGAGGCTTTTCATATCGTTTTTATTCCACTTATATTACTCCCTCTGTAAATGGCCTGTTAATACTCTTGTCTGTTTTTCTAATGTTTCTTTTTAAAGTTGATTTTCTATTTTTAAAATATATAGATATTAAATTTATAGATGTAATATACGTATTCAAATATAGATATTTTGAAATATAAAATACATTATTTTATTTAAATAAATTCATATCTAAAGTTCATCTCTATATAGTCCAGGTAACATTTTATTATAAATTTCAAGTATTTCCACTTTTCTGTTAACTTTGTTCAAGAGTGCCTGATCATCCAAAAGTTTGAAGTTTTGATTTAACTAAATGTACTCATCTTTTCCTTATAGAATTTGATTTTGTATGTTGATTAAAAATTATTTTCCTATGCCCCATGTTATAGTTCATATTTTTAAGGTTTTAAAAAAGAAAGCGAAGGTCTTTAATCTTCCTAGAACTTAATTTTGTGAATGATGTGGTGTTGGTAGAGCCACAATAGGAAATAGATGGCAGGTTCAAACTGAGGTGCCAAGGGAGAGAGAGGATGGAGTGAAGACCACTTCCTTCCAAGAGCCAAGACCTTTAGCTTAGGGAAGCAGCTAGCTTGAGGACCCCAGGCCTCCCCCACTTCACTCTTTCCCTTGGATTCTCCCGTTTGACCTGCCCCCCCCCATGAAGATCATGGAGCCCGTGATACAGTCCATGCAGAGTATCCGCTCGACTAAAGACTGGGACCCAGAAGGGTGAGCAGTGTCTGGATGGAGGAGCAAAGCAAAGATAATGATGCCAGTGAGAAATGAAAATCTGCCTCTTTTTCCAAAAATGGATAGTTGTCCTACATCTATTTATTAAATGATTTATCCTTTTTCCAGTTGCTTGAAATGCTATTTCTTCAAATACGGTTTGAAGTGTGTGTATGGTTCTTGGATTGAACTTAGGGCCTCAGCACTGAGCCGCATCCTTACCCTTGTTTTTAGATTTTATTTTGACACCTAGGTTAGAAGCTTGCAATGCTTGCACCTCAGCCTCCCAGAGAGCTGGGATTTCAGGCATGCACCAAAAGTACAAAACTTTCATACAGCTCTGTTCTGTTCTGTTGATCTTTTATTGGTTCCTCCATAATGCCTGCACCACTTTATAAAACAATTTTATGTTTTGATAACCTGTCCTCACTTGTTAATCTTCAGTGTAAAATGTCATTGGTCATTCAAGCAGATTCATAATTCTAGGTGAATTGCAGAATGAGTTTCTTGTGTTAAAAAAACCCTATATTGGAATTTTGAATGGTGCTACAGTGAATTCATAGTTTAATACAGGAAAAGTGAGCATATGTAGTTTATGTGTTTCCAGTAAAAAAAAAAATGGCCTATTCAGGTCTTTTATATCCTCAGGAAGTTTTATAATTTTTCTTCATATACATTGTACATTCTTACAAGGCTTTCCCTTTAGGTAACTTATAGTTTTGTCTCTTATGAATCAAATCTATTTTCCTCTGACACTTTCTAATAGTTTAGGAAGACTATTGACTTCTGTACCTGAAGCCCCAATTTGGACAGTGTAAAGTCATGGTAGTTCTGATGGCTCGTTCTTTCGTCCTTTTATGATTGTCGATATAAATGACCACATCTAAAATAATGAATATGTGTACCTTTTAATTCTTTTTCATATTTTAGTTTATTACCTGGCACTCTAGTGTACTAGATGATGATATTCATGCTTACTCTTGATTCTAATGGTCA